GTTCGCATAATGTAAAAACAGGAGGAGACGCTCCGTTTTCCGCTGAATAAAGTTCAACACAGAAATCGACTGAAAATTGTATGACATTAACTGTCGTGCTGCTCAAAAGATATTAGAACTCTTATCGTCATTGGGAGATACGAACGTTTATTTTATTTTGTGCTGCTTTTCACCAAATCTTCTAAAAGCTTCAGGTTGCCTACATCCTTGTCACCCTTTCCGTGCAATGCGTTTCTTTGCTTTGTTTACAATACGACGACACGCCGTCGGTAATACATAACAACTTTCAGCGATGGTGGTGTCGCGGTGTCAGGATAACACTCTCTAGTTCCTGAATGATTGACTTCAGAATGAAGGTGCAGAGTGGAGGTGTGAATGGAGGTATGAGGTAAGGCTCTTGTGTAGCTCGTGTTTCACAAAATTAGAATTACTGCTGTCGCTGTGAGGGAGCGCTGCCGTTGCCTCACCTGACATTTAGCAGGAAAACACTGAGCTGTGGTACGGCCGACCCGTGCTACATGCCTTTTGGACGTCATCAAGAAACGGTAGGCACAGTATACGTGCGTCTATAGTTTCATTTTAATCGCCATTATATTTTTGTTTTCTGAGTGATTCTCTGATGTTTTTGCTGGTTATTTATCATCTAATTCACCGACGTATCAACCAAGGCACGACATATGTTCAGAGCTAATGGAAGATTGATATAAACATAATCGATAATTTAATTGTATGTTTAATTACCGTGTCCTTTTGTTTTTCTATAACACCGTTTGCCGATACTTGCCGGCTAAAATACGCCTATATACTATATCCATATACATTGATTTTATTTGAGGTTTAATGGTCTGTATCACAATTTCGATCGCTTTGCGATTCTAACAGCGTCCAATTCCGGCTGTTACAACGAAGCTTTGTGCTTTCACCAAAGCAGACAGCGGTTCCATTTTTCTCAAGAAGCACGCAGTGCAGTGGTTCAGGCATTCGTAAGTGCCCGAACTGAAAGGGTGTTCAGCGTCCGACGAGTCTTTCGAGAGCCAGCTGTTGCTCAAAGTCACAAAAGTGTGACTGGTGGCAACAATAAACGCTTTCATAACTCCCTTGTGTTTTGTGTCTTACCATGGGCCAGCAGGGTACAAAGTAACGGATTACTTTTTGTGGTAATGGTCACTTACTTTTATGAAAGGGGTATACGTGTAACTGTAATTAGTTACAATTTAACCTCGCGCAATTGTAAATCTAATTCGTTAATCTAAGTCTAATCGAAATGTTCTAAATAATGAGGGCTCGGAAGGGGAGAAGGGGGGGGGGGGGGGGGGCTTCCGAACCCTGAACCCTAATTCTGCATGTGGGAAATTTTTAGGCGGGGAAAAGGGGGACGGGGGGGGGGGGGGGGGGGAGGGGGGCGGGTTCTCAAACATCTGATACGCCGACCCCCTTTCCTCTCTGAAAGCGCCATGCATTCGCTCCTGTTCCCACCAATTTTCCGACCACGCACGATCGTTTCACGGGAGCCACAGAAAGGCGATCGGGTGGTCCTGGAAGTCGGCTCGCGGTGGATTCACTATTTTATAATCTAGTCACTCGGACACCCTTAACCGCAATTGAAGGGATTGTCCGTTAAATGTTGTCCTTCAGAAAACAATACACTTATATTGGCATTGCTTTTAGGAATATCATCCGCACGAGTAATTCAATTTTGAATAGAGCTCAACTGCTCAGATTGCACCCACAAAACACACAGAGTTTTTGTTGGCAAAAGCGGAAGCTCTGATTTAATATCATGCAAAGAGAGCCACGCTAGGTCTTGACTGCTGTCTCAGTAAACAAACTTCGTTCTTAGAAAGACCAGATTTACGGTATTGAGGGAAGCTGCGACGGTGATCTTTGTACGCACCATCAACCATGTTGATCAAAACCGGGAATAAGTCAACGCCCGCGACTCTGACGTTACCATGCCTGATGTGATGTCACGACACGACCAGTCAGGCCACTTGAGAAATTTGGCGTGAAGTTTCGTATTGATGTTCAGAATGGATTTAACTAATATTGGGGCGTCTTTTTATGAAATAAATATCACACCTGACCATATTTAGGCCCTCTTTACGTGACCAGCGCAAAAACTTAGTAACTTCAGGATTTCACCGGGCAGTCCCTTTAAGTGTGACCTCAGTTACACTAAATTGCGGTTAAGGGTGCCCGTATAACGGGTTCTCAAACCGGGTTTCCCAATAACCCTCATGAATTTATCGAGCGTCCAAACTTCCTCTACCATCGCCATACCTCGTTCATGTGTTCACAAGATTGAAGAAAGAATAAATATGTAGGACGAAGACGAGACAACCACATCTTTGAAAGATGTGGTTGTGTCGTCTTCGTGGTACATGTTTATTCTTTCTTCAATCTTGACCCGCACCAACACGCTCTTCGACCATTAATACAGGTGTTCTCCCTCTGCTTAAATCTACTTTAGGAGATATGGGCTATCCACTGATGCATAACTATGTGGCAAACGTTCCTTAGTATGCGTATATTTATCTTTGCGAGGGCTAGGCTTGTGCTGCAGTTTAATGCATCAGGACCAATACCAGGAAGAGCTTCTCGTCTGTCCTTCGAAAGGGATGGGCGTTTCTCGAGGTTGAAAAAGTTTGAGGACCCATGATTTAGTCGTTTAATTATTTCACCTTGAGCCTCCGGGCATCACGTAAGGGATGAGACACTATTCATATTGTCACACATTACAGGCGGAGAGACACGTGATGCAATAAAAAGCTAAGCGTTTAATAGGGCGAACTTGTGCCCAAAACAAAACCAGGGGTACAGGCGTCGAAGGTGGTGTGAGAGCTGGATCGACCGCTGGCGAAAGACTGCCCCTCTACAGCCACCGGGTGCATCGCGTACCACCTAAAAAGTACTAGAATAACACTGCCGCGTGAGATCCGGACACGCTATAACCACTGCGTTACTCCAATACACCTAGCAGACAAGCCCTGCGCGCGTTTCGTCCCCTAATCGTTATCACTAGTAGATACCCCCAGCGCCCCCTAGGTAGCCCTGATGTCCCTGATGTGTACCATCGTCTGCTACATCGCCTGCTCCATCGCCTGCTCCATCACCTGCTTCGTTGTTCATGCTGAGAACGAACTCACATTATTAGGCTGCTGAGACCGGAAATTTTGATGCTGTCGCATGCACCTTGCAAATGAACTGTGGTAGCTTGCTATCAGCTCTCGCTCGGCAGTCGTGCGCGCAGCTATGGCCGCCAGTGAATGCGACGTAGTTGTGACGCGGCCCATACTCTCGTCAAGCTTCAGCCTGTTTGTCGCTTGGGGCGGGTCGGGGATCTACTAATGATGACGTCATACGCAGGCCTTGTCTTCTGGGCGGTATTGCCAGAGCGGCCTATTAGGTCTGCGCTGCTCCCGACCCCTTTGGGGGGAAGCGAGTTGGTCGTAGTACTGTACGCGTTACAAAAGGAAAAGTTACTCGTTAAATGCAAAAAGAAAAAAAAGAAAACGAACGCGTTACTGATTCACGTTATGGTGAAAAAAACGCGTTACAGTTATCATTACGTATAACTGTAAGGCAAGTTAATTTTGTTTATTAAACGACAGCGTTTTTCGGTACTGGGACAAACGGCGTCGGCGTTTTAAAGCAATTGCATTATTTTCCCCTTCTTTCCTAACCTAGTCTCATTGCTTTTCTTCCTGCGGTAGTTAATTGAGTTGCATTTTCGTAGTTTTGAGGAAAGTAATTAGTACCGTAATTGCGTTTCAAAAGATATTTTATTATCCCTTAACTGACATAGGGTACGAGTGTAGTGGCAGAAGCATGCGTGTCCTTTCGCCCAGCTGCCGTATAGGAACCGTGCGCATCTAATTCAAGCCCCGAACAGGGCGCCCCTAGCGGCAAACGGGTCCATCGCATCGGGGAGCTTCTGCCAGTCGCTGCGTTGGTCGTGCGTTGTAGTGGGTTAGCGCTGTAATTTCTGAAATGGCTATTCCGCACCAAGAAAGCCGCAACAATTGCTGCGTGGTCGGCTGCAACAGTACGTCGAAGATTGCACACGGCACGAAGTACTACATCGTCCCTTCGAAGCCGTACGGCCGTACGAGGCGGAGTACTGCGCGACCTGCAGGTGCGACTACAGGTTAGTGGCGTTTCTTACCTTCTGTTCGCGCTTTGTTTAAGCTGCTGACGAATAATACAATTAACTTTTTTCTATTCTAGCGACGATGGAACAGCATCGACACCGACGGCAAACTCTAAAGTATCCGGCAAATACTTTACCGGAATCGAGAAGCGGAGTGCGGTCGCCCCCCTAAGCCTACACTTGGATGTTTCCATCAGCCTACAGGAAGATAGTAGTGGGAATCGCGGAACGGCGCGAAAAAAATCGCCCAGTTATTGTCAAGCTGATTCAGAAATAAACGTACATAATTACCACGGTCCACTCAACGCCAACTACATTTTTTTGCGGGCACGCTTAATTTTGTTAGCGGAGTACGGCGCTCCGTGACATCCACTTGTCCGTCGAAACGGACCTGCTTCACGTCGTATACGCGGCCAGATTCACGAAGGAGTTTTCCCTTCTTCATATTGGTACCACGGAAGAAGCTTTCTAGATTCGTAACCACCTTAAACCCCGTCGTAATCACCCCGGGAACACTATCCGCTGTGCTCGCTGTGCTGCTCATCGCCATTGCTTCCCCCGATGATTCTGCACCGGCTACCGAAGAAGTTTTCCGGATTCGTAATCGCCCTCTGTCCTCTGTGGTGTTCGTTGCTATTACTTCCCGATGATTTTGCGCCGACGGCACCGGCTACCGAAGGAACTTTCCGAATTCGTAACTGCCTTAAATTCCTTCGTAATCACGACGGGGAAACTGTCTGCCGTGCTGTTCGTCGCCATTGCTCCCCGATGCTCCTGCGGCGGCTACCGGTAGGTCGCGGCGAACAATAGGCGACCGCCGCGACACGGCCGGCATGCTCGCTTCCTATACTTACGACACTATGATGCCGGGGCTCATGAACTCCCGGAATGTGAAGCTGAGCCCGTCATAAAAAGGATCCGTGATCTGAAAGGAGGCGCGAGATTAATATGGTCGGGCTTCGAGAACCCGTTTCCGAAGAGCCGGCGCAGATATGACATAGCGCATCACAAAAGGCATTCATGAACTATCAGCATTCGAATGACGCACAGAGAAAAATACATGCCCCCTCTCATCGGCGTGAATACGTGAGTTTGATACTAAGAATGTGTTAACTTGATGTAAAGATGTAGGCTAGAGTCACCGAACAAACTACGCTTAGGGTAACGGCACTCCATTCGTTGACTTTATTTGCGGGCGCCGCCATCTTGGTCACTTGTGCAGAGCGGGCGCAGTTGGCAGTCGTTACGATTCTAAAATGCGGACTCCTGAGCTTTAGATATATACGGTGCCAAAAAAGCTCAGGAAATGCAGAGAGCAAGTCGTCTGCTTCTTGCTCAGGAGTGGCGGTGACGTCAGAACGACGCCGAGCTGTTATTGGCTGATTGAAAACTATAGTGGGTAGACCTCAAGGCATCCACCATTAAGGTCTACTCACTATTCTTTTCAATCAGCCAATAAGAGCTCGGCGTCGTCCTGAAGGCAGCGCCACTCCGGAGCAAGAAGCAGACGACTTTCTCTCCGCATATCGTCTCGCTCTGTCCCGGTCTGTTTGAAAATTTCTGGAGGACGAAAGTTCGCTGCCTACAGCTTCAAATTGAGCTTCAAGTAACTGGCAACAATGATTGTATGCACCAAGCTAGATGGATGAAGCGTATTGATTCCGAGACAGTGTAGCTATAGTAGCTCTTGTTTCAGCTAACTGCAGCGTTGTCTCATCCGCAATCAAACTTTCAGCTGTACGTTACGTTCACATCTAAATGGGAGGGGTGAGGCCGGAACAAGTGCCACACTTATAGCGGTGCGATCTTATTATCTTTTTTTATTTACACGTGCGATTTACGCACCCACAGATTTCACGAAACTCTACTTCATGCACGCGGCTGATGCTTGTTTGCATTACCGCAAAGTGCTGAGCTCTCATCACTTCGGGGTTTCGGAGGGAGCTCACGGACTCCAGGACTTCTAGGAAGTGGGAATTTAAACACTGACTAGGTGGCGCCCGAACAAAAACTCGGCATCCATTCATCTATTTATTCATCAAAAACCAAATAGGCAATTGTTAAAAAAAAAAAAAAAAAAGAGAAGATTGTTGGGGTGCGTACCTTGAGCGTCTGCACGGACACGTTCTGTCCGGTGCTGTTGGACACCACGCTCCTGAGGACCGCGTTGTGGGCCCTGTGGATCTCACGCTCGATGGTGCCACGGATCGTGTAGTCTGACCAAAACGGAAGGTGGGAGCAAAGAAGACCAATTCACTTAGAGCTCTTCGATTAATTGGTGGCGTGCGCACCAAAATTGTATTTGGCACTGTGACGCCACGTGACACTGGGACATCAGGGAGAACTATGACGTCATGTCACGTGACACTATGACATTACATCATGCCGTCATGTGAGGCTACAATGTCGCGTAAAGTCACGTGTTACTGCGACGGCCTCCTCACTGTGCACTCAAGTGGAGGAGCGCAAAAAGGACTTATAAGTCTAGCGGATTTAGTGCGCCTCTGGGAAATGCCAAAGAGCCAGCAAATTTTCTCTCTAGTCCAAAGAGCGTGAAACATAATACCAGGTTTTGTTTGCGCGGATAATTCTGAATATAAAAATACAGCAGAACTAACTCTCTTAGTTGTCAGAGCCGACTTAATTTTATAGTTACCAATCGAAGCACACGTATGTGATGAGGAATACTATATAAATATGTCTTCTCTCATGCGACATGATTTTAGTATAGTCTCATTCCTAACCACGCGTAATTCTTAGTAAAAAAAAAAAAAGAAAAAAACAACAACAACAAAAACGGGCAGTTAAAAGTGGTAAGGGCGACCCGGGGGACAAACAAACCTCGTCTCTACTTACCCGTTGAGTCCATGTAGACATCGATGGTGCCTTCTTCCACAATATCGTCGGGAACATCGAACTTGTCAGCGTATCTGTGGGGATTACACTGCGTTTCATCATCACAAGCATAATCACAAGTGAGAGGGAAAGAGAAGAGTGTGTGTGTGTGTGTGTGGGGGGGGGGGGGGGAGGGGGCACGCTTCGGGGGGTTTGCCGAGCACACGAGCTCGTACAGTGAACTGTCCTTCAAGACGACATGCTGGCGGAACATAATTCGTGCATTTTCGATGAAATTCTTGCGGTAAAATTGACTTCCCTCGAGCGATAACTATCCCCTAATAAATAGCAAACTAATCGGTAATATGACCAAAATGACTTCTCTTCTTTAACAAATGATAGCTTTTATGGAGATGTTTGCACTGGTGTTAACAAAAGGACACTGTATTAAGTGTAATCTTTAGGGATGTTACACGCTCATGCTTTCCCATGAAACGGGTCGTGGAAGGAAGGACTATCTTCAGCCCCGTGTTGGACTGGACAACCGTGTTTTCAGAGCGTCAACACACCAAGTGATGTGCATGTACAAACGTAAACTGACTGACTCATTGGATGAACACAATACGAGAGACGCCTGCGACAAAAACCGTGCCCCCATGGCGTGCCTCTGGGCGAAGCAACAACGCCAGAGATGGACATACGCAGTCACCTCTGGTAAATGGCCGTGCTGAAGTTTTCCCGGATGTAGATGGTCGCCCACGCCTCCTGCGTGCGTACCGCCAAGAAGGCGTCGGCCAAGTTGTCGTAGTTCATCTGTAAGAGACACGTCTGGGTGGGAAATCTGGACAGTCACGCTTTTAAACAATAGGGTGCCTGAAACGAGCCTCCGACACCGATGCGCTTAGCGTCCTGTCCCGTCTATGCATCGAAAAGTGCATGGTCCCGAAATGGCGACAAATGACGCCATGGGAAACGGCGTATCATGCTGCCGGATGTCGCTCTCCCGTCGGTTGGTAGTAGAAGTTCCGGTAAAAAGTGCGAACGAAGGCGATTTTTGCTGTCGGCGCGGCGTCTCAACTCGCGGACGCTGGAGCTTCCGCGGAATGTCGAGCCGGAGTGCGACCTGCAGCGGAACAGGCGCTCGCCGCGTCCACCATTTTTGCTCTGCCACGGCAGGCAACCGAATTACATGTTTATGACGTCATCGGGCGATAGTCGAGGAACCGCATTTGAGAAGGCGGTTTACAGATCAGTCGGAGACGCGTTCCAATTAAGCCCCCATAGTCCAAGCACGAAGCTCGTCTAATCTGCTGGGAAACACTGCGAAACGTTGGCTTTCAATTGAAAGATTTCATAAGTTTGTGTTTGTGTTTTTTGTTGTTAACGGAAGTTATTGTGGAGATCAGAAGTTGCTAAGAGATGGGGATAAAACCTCCAGGGCCCTGTCTTGTCCGCCGCATGTTTTATTATTTCGTGATGGCGTTGGCGTTCTAATCGGAACTGCGAAGCCGATCCGCTCGTTTTTATCACCACATGCGCGTGAATTTGTACTGCTTCTTTAAATAAGCGCGTTCGCAACTGCTGCGATTGCGGCTCGGTTTCCAGTGTGAGTGCGGCGCTAAAGCATTTTTACTGTGTTTGTATTCGAGGCTAAGCCTATTTAACAAATTTGCTTGCATAAAAAATGCAACGCGACATTTAAGGTCATTGTATAAAACAATTGCAACATTACTGGTATTAAAAAAAATTCAGTGACCGCGATTCCTAAGAGTTTTTATAATGTACTCTATAGTGTCCTGAACCCTATCGGGAAAAAAAATTTCAACTTTATACTACAAATATTCAGCTGTTGAATGCCTTTTTTGTGTTAAACTGGCCTTCGGATTTCTTATTTTCTTTTTAGTACAGACCGACAGGTGAAAAAGAAATCCGTACGTCAAAAGAAACGACGCGGTACATCAATAAGTCCCATAGTTTTCCATAGTTTTCGAGTCCGCCATCCTTGTAAGTTCGGAGTACCCCCCGAGAGATACAGAATATATTGATACGCTGGGCCTCCAAGAAGAGAATTTTAGGAGTGCATATTAAAAGCGTCCCAGAAGTTCGCGAAAGCGGCCACTGGCATATGGAGCTCTGCACTTGTAAGTCGAAGGCGCACCTTGCGGAGGGTCACGGCGCTTAGTTCGTCGATGAATTCTGTGCCGTACTTCTTTCCCAGCGCGCTCTTCACCTCCAGGTTCACGATGGCCAGCGGCAGGTCGTACGGCTCGCCTCCCACAAACAAACAGAACACCACACCCACGCAGGACGGCACCACCAGCTGGAAAATTATGGTCCTGCAAGGCAGTTCATGCATATGGGCATTTCCATGTGCCGTACAATCTGATGTACGGCACATGAAATAGTATCGATGACTAGAAAATGAAACTATTGCCTCATTTCGCCTTTACCATCAACATCGCTAATGAACGAATGAATGATTGGTGTTGATTTGACTCGTTGTGGTTTCAGAACGCAAAGGAGGCAGGGCAATAAGAAAATACAGTACGCGTAGAATTTTTGCGTGTGCGTGTTTTGTTCTTTTAATTTACGAGGATAGGAACAAATTGATCGTGCCGGTTGAGTCGGCCCGGGCGTACATAGAAACAGCCCCACAATTCCCCGCGTCACACGCTGCAATCCCAGGTTGCAGCGCGTGACGCTATTTGATAGATGGCGCCGGTATGTTCTTTCGTCGTAAGTGACAATCAGAAGCGACTGCAGTACACTGGTGCACACCCAAACGCAAATGCCGGAACCAGCCGGCTTAATGTAACGACGTTGAACAATGTGCGTAAACGCGACGAGAGAGGCACTCACACGAGGCGGCGCATGATCTTGATCATGTTCTTGGCCATGAGGGCCCGGATACGGGTCCACCTCCGGCCGGATTCCAAAGCGCTCAGCTGCGCTGGGGGCGAGGCCAGAGTTACTTCCAGCGACGGCGCTGCGGGTGGCAAGGGTCTGTCTCCGCCGGGGCCCTCCACTTCAAGGCGCTTGCACACCTGGAGGCACGCACGCCACGTAAGCCATTGGTATACCATCGCTGGACTTACCCTGGGTTTCAGTTGTTTCTGTGCAACACAGGACACGGTAGGATCGGGTTTGCCAGTGCTCGAACAAGCGATAACAAAAGGGTTACTACCGCGGACAATATCTACTGAAACAGTTCTTTGGCGTATCTGCCAGTGTTTTCAGAGAGCCATGGTTCCAATGGGACATGGAATGCAAAGTTGAAGTCCCAAACTTCGGGCAATTTGAGAAATTAAGAGATAATAAAGCTTGCAGGAACCGCAGACCCAGAAGCCCAAATCGTGTGTTTCAGTGCATGTTTTCTGTCGAGGTACATCCCAACATTTACGCTTCCCTCTTCATTTCTTGACGTTGGGGATTAGGGGAAGACTCTGAAGCTTCGAACACCTCCTAAAAAAAACCAAAAAAAAACCGTAGTGCTGAATTTTGTTGGAGTTGTCTAAAGAAAGTCAATGTGGTACACAGATGGGACAGTGCTGCACCAGGTTTCAGCTAGTATCCGTGTTCACTCAGCGATTGAATGTGACCACTGGGCTAGCTGAACACTGATCCAGCGGTCGTGGCGAGTTTCCGCTCCGGCCTTTTTTAGGTGACGGCGAAAATTCAGCACTCCGGCTTTCTTATTTATATAGGTGATGAAACTACTCACCCGTCCCTATCCTTTCTCTTCAGCGGTTCGGGCTGCAGTCCAGTTTACACTGAGTGAGCCTCATTGTTTCATACATTGGCGCTTGTTTCGACAGAGCTTACAAAAAATATAGACTAGCTATTAAAATTGTAAAAAGAACAATGGAAAAAAATGAAAGACGTTTACAACACCCTGTAACGCCGTATTAGAGCGCAGCTCTTGAGGAGGAGGAGAGAAGGGTACTGAGGGGAGAGTATACCCCTCCTCCCTCCTCTTCCTCGTCCTCGTCCTTCCTCCTCCCCGCGCGTTGCATCATGGGAAATGCCTTATAATGCACCGCGCGTTTACGCCGACGGCGACGCCGCTCAAGCCGGAAACGGGCGCCTAAGAGCTGCGCTCTAAGAAAAAAAATCTAAATGTTCGCGAGCAAAGAAAATTTTCATTTCACGCTGTGCCTCTCGTGTTTTCTTCAGCGCGTATTGTAGATATTTCCAGTTCCTAAAATCGTGAGTGACCTCCGAGTGATCTTGAACTAAACAGCCACCCCATTAACACTCGTGGTCCTCAAAACCCAGGTTCACGCTACTGCAAAGCGTATCCGAGTTTCCTGCATCGTGAACTTCCGAGATGAAAGTTCTGCTTGGAGCTCTCACTTCTGCGCAGAGTACGCGACTGTGATTTGGTCGTGCTCGGCACGCAGACGGATAGTTTCTTCCATCGAGGTCTTACCTTGAGGTAGACGCTGGACAGAGAGCCGGGGCCATATGTTTGCACAAGTGTTGACGGCGGCTGCTCGCACCACACCTTGCCGTTCTTCATTATACCCACCTGAGAAGTGAAAAAATAAATAAAAAACAAAAACAAATGGCGGTTCCCTGCTGCGCGTCCTGCGATTGAACCGCGGCGAGTGCAGAGACACTGCACGCCCTGCGGCACAGAAGCCCTCCGATGTGCTTGTCTTAAAAGCAGCGTCAAATGCGATAATGCGACGACATTCGCTGCCATGGGCGCACGAGGCACGGGCCTCGTTCATTATCGTATTCGGTGCTACTTCTAAGATAATACATAAATGTATAAGAGGCAGGGAACCGTCAAGTTGCACACTCTGCTGCACACGTGACGTTACAGTCTTACGTGACACTGCGATCTTCCGCAAAATTGAGCAGAAAAATGTTCTCGCTAAATTTTGGCGAAACCCGTTTCCTTTGTGACGTCACGTGACATGGTGACATGAGGGAATTGTAGTAGACCGCTTCCGCAGCCCGCTAAGCACCGGGATAGCGCTCCGTAATCCGCCACAAGACCTTGAACTATGCAGACAATGCTGGCGGTGCGCATGCGCAGCTGCAGCGTTTTCTTCGGGGACACCGTAGTGAAGGAGAAAAACGATCCACTACAACTTCCTATTGCAGTGTCACGTGGCACTGATCTTCCGTTAAATTTAGTGCGAAGCGTTTCCCGCTAAATTTTGCGGGACTACCCGTCACGAAACACGAATCACACCGCGGAATTCGCTGCAAGGCATTCTCAATAAAGGGCGGTTCAAACCAGCCCTCAAAAAGGAATTCTGAAAGCCGGAGCCCGCTTTTTTTTTTTTTTTTTTTTTTTTTAATATTTGCCAGTAGGCCGGACCGCGGGTGAAACTGGAAAGGGAAAAACGCATATTAGTCTACATGGACAGGAGGGGCTGAAAAGGTACCCTTTGTGGGATTGTTGAGTGACTTCGAGGGAGAAAATACAACAAAAGCAACTGCTTCTGAAAAAAACAGTAAGTGCGCAGGCGAGCTGGTGGATGTTGATCATGATGTAGAAAACCCGAGACAACCTCCCTTTTTTTTTTTTTTGGTAGGGTTTTCGCAAAGCGATAAGCGAACCCCCCGCTTCCCAAGCAAGGCATGCGACGCCAGCGAGGAGGATGGACCGCCTTTCCCTGATTGGCTACTGCAAAATCCGGTCTCGTCCGGCTTTGAAAAAGTCCAACAGTCTCAACTTTTCGTTCGGGCTCCGGAAGCAGGAAAACGTCGCCATAACGTCGCAGGTGACGTCACTTCCGCCTCCCGGATGTTCTTGCACGACCAACTTGCGGTGTCGAAGAGAGGTCAGACCAAAACCGCATAGAAGAAAAGCTATACTCGTGACGTCATTGTCAGTGGATCCCCGACCCGCCCCAAGCGGCGAACACGCTCAAGCCCGACGAGTGTCGTCGCGAAGCGGCAGGCGCTAGCGTTTTTGGCGTTTCCGCGTGCAAGCGTCACGCTCGTTGTGGTTCGCTGTAAGACGCGCTGACTACGACGCTGGCACGAGCTGTGCGGCGAGCAAGTCGTCTGCTTTTTTGCAGGAGTTGCGGTGACGTCAGAAAGAAGCCGAGCTATGATTGGTTCTAATTGAAGGATAGTGGGTAGACCTCAAAGCAAGCTGCTATGAGGTCTACCCACTATCCTTCAACCAGAACGAATCAAAGCTCGGCGTTCTCACGTTACCACAACCCATCCAAAAGAAGCAGACGAACTTGCGCTCCGCATAGGTGGCGCTACGGGGAACCACTAGTGACAACGTTTGGCCGGAGAGTAAAGGGAGGGGGGGGGGGGGGGGAGGGGGGGGAGGTAGTAGAGGCGCAGGTATTCTAGGTGGTATTGGCCCGACACATAGGTTGGACTCTCGAACGTAGCTCACTAGGGCCGCCTGCTCGATCTCCTCGATGAAATGCGTGGTAACCACCAGGGTGGAGTTCATGTCGTTGGACAAGGTGACGAAGTAGCGCCAGATGACGTCCCGCAGCACAGGATCCAGTCCGACCGTCGGTTCGTCCAGGATCAAAAATGGCGGCTCGTGCAGCAGGGCGATGGCCAAGGACACTCGTCTCTGCTGGCCACCGCTGTAAGAAGCATGCGACAACTTCTCCGTCTGTCTTCTTTTCTCGACTGAAATTTTTTTTTCACCAGAAACATTTAATCTTTTTAAAGGTTTAGGGTGTTCTAATAGACCTAGCTATCTCACTAAGTCTTCTACCATAGCCTCCTCCATACTCACAAAGCCTGGCCGTTCGACGACGGAGCCATAGAGTGTCCGGTCGCAGAGTTTTAGCGCGATGATCTGGTAGCCCGGAGCATCAAAGAGCCATTTATCGGGGAACCTGGACATCAGCGCACAGCTTTTGCAGCGGCGAGGACCCGAAACACACTAGTACGCTCGAGAGAAGTGTGTTTCGGCGTCTCGCCGCAGCGGCTGCTTCTCTAGCGATCTGCCAGGCTTTGTCAGAATATAGGAGGCAATGGTTCTACCCATGCTTGACGCCGCCGTAAGGTCAAAGGTGTTAGGCGCCAGTGCACGAGCCAGCTCGTGGCGTCTCGTGCTCTGGTCGCGCAACCTGCAGAGTTCCCGCAAGTTCGGAAAGACTACAGCAAATTTTGCTACAGTTCCCAGAATGCTGGGTGTCAGCGGTTGGGTAACGAAACGGGATCGTGAGATCGGTTCACTGCGCGTGAAAGCTAAGGCCCTAGATCTGTGTGTGTGTGCTTGTTGTACAAGTAGCGACAAATGCACGAGATCTGTGCCTCTCGTGCTACTCTTGGAGGCAAATGGTAGCGCAGTGCTCGCTCGCGGCGCGTGCCTTGCTGCTCGCACAAAAGGGGTTGTCGGTACTTGTAAGAAATGCGGAGCGTGACTTTTTACAAGGGGCCTTAGCGAAAGCAAACTTGAATAGACCGATGTAAGGATTGGAGAAAGCAGCAAAATGGTGCCCGAAACTAACTGAATGCTTCGATTCTATCGCATCACACAGGAATGTCACGACCACATCTGACATTTATGGTGAAAGTATTTGTCACACGCAAAAAAAGAAGATTGAGATTTTTTACTTATCTATTAAACATAGATCCCGAGAAGAGCAACCCAAGATACAAAAGATTGTATCTCGGGTTGCTGCACCTCAAGTGGATGACGTTGGCTGCCCTGATTAGAGGCATTGGCTGCCCTGATTAGAGGCATTGGCAGCTTAATAAACGCCGTGCGTGGCGAGTCGCGAGCGTCCATCATTGTCCCGTAGCCATGAACATTGCGGGATTGGCCGATAACAAAGCCGAAGAACGAATCGCAAAAAAAAAAAAGAAGAAAAGCGTGTTGAAGCCATGCTGTGTTTCATAAAGGGGCGGTGCAACGAAATTAAATTGGAACGTTTTTCACTTTACACGAGCTTACTGGCACTAGTGGCACTCAAGAATACTGGGGCGCAACGCCACTGGCCAAGAAACTCCTGTGTTGCGGTGTCATTTCAAGGATAAAAGCGAGCGTTTTCATTCATTCTCTCCTTCGCAAAACTTGATGACGTAGCCTTGGTGGCAGCAGTAGCGCCCATTGACGATATTTCAATGCGGATCATAGATTGGACCTGAGCATTGCGTGGACACTCGATTTGTGGTTGTGATAATCGATAGCTCGAGAAGCCTTCGGGTAGCGGCCCGTGTCCAATCGCCGCAATCACGACAATAGCCGAACATGTCTGGAACTCAGCGCTTGTCCTCTTCCTTGCCAACCCCAGCGCGTGGCTATGAAACATTGGCGGCATACAATCGGCTCCAGATCACGTGGCCGCTTGTTCTCGCTGCGAGTTGAGGGGGTGAACGGAGCTCGTTTTTCTTTAATTTTCTGTGCGACTTCGATAGCGTGTGGTAAAAAACGAACGAGTGCTTTACATGGTCATTAACGCCAGGGATTCTTTCTAATCGGTATTTTCGTAAAAAGTCGTTGCATCGCCCCTTTAAAGGGCCACTTAACTGGATTGTGAGATCGTTCATATATGGTGATGACTCACGGGCTCTAAGACTCTTAAAAAAAAAAGTACACTCATGGGTGGCTGATTTTCCATTAAAAAATCTAATCGAAGATCGTGACACGCACCTCTCTCTGCGCCTTGGAGCAGATACCATGGAGGCAGAGACCATGGCGCCGCCGGACAGAGTTTTTAAACAATAATTTCTGTGCATTACTTCTCCTACACCCAACGATTTGAAGTTTTTGTCAAAATATATGGCGCAACTCGCATCAAAAGAGCAATAATAGTAACGTTCGGAATCTTCACGCGGTTAACTATTTTATTTGGTAACATTTTATGTAGGTAGTAAGGACCCGAGGATTCCCCCTCCCAAAGAAATAATTGTGCCCATGCATTCCTACTGCTGTGAGTTAACTTCTCATCTTGAACTGGCCACTTTCATTGACCAAAGCTTAACAAACAATATGCCATCGAAAATAAGCTTCTACAATAAGCCACTTAAGTGCCCTTCTAAGGTGTCGGTGTCTATAATGTCTGTGCACAAGAAATGCAGTACAATCTCATCTCACAAAGCCCTCCACTCTTTCCACTTTAGCAAAACGAACGATGAAGGAGGAGGAGACCATCAATCATGGCAAGCAGAGAGCTTGATGGTCTCCTAACCCGCAGCAGGCTATATAACAAGAATTGTTTACCGGTATACACCATCACGGTGTACAGCTCACCTGAGCGTCTTAACGGTTCTGTTCGCTGGCATGATTTGGAAGAAGGAGCACAAGAAGGTGATCCGGTAGAAGATGCGCTCTTCGATGAGCCCCAAAAGCTTTCCGTAAAAATACAGGTTCTCCGCAATGGTGAAGTCGGCGTACAGGGCCAGCTCCTGACGGACAGGAGAGCGAAAAGTGTCCGTAACCACGATAAGCGTACTGAGTGCGCTTTGGAAAAAGTAATCAGTGTCTTTTTAGAGAGACCATGCCACTTGCATTTTTTGAAACGTGGGTCGGGGTGGCGGATTCTGTCCCATAAACTGGGGTGCACATAAAACATCACATCGTGGTGCGTGAATTCCACTACTCTTAGATGGACAGAATTCGAACACTACATACAGGATACGCTATCAATCTAAGACTAGTGAACCCCTTAGATTAGAGCCACTCAGAGCTCTATACACAAGGACTAGATGTCTTTGACTGTACCAGAGTGTCTCTCTTCAATCGGAGCAAACAAGAGCTTCGTCTGCTCTTCGCGCCAGTTCTGGCGTTCACGTTCGAATGCCATAACCTGCGCGACGAGCAGACGATAGCTATTGTTCGCTCCAAATGGAGGTAGAGAGCGGTTAAAGTCAAGGGAAGGTGGCCTTTGCTTCGACCCACTAACCATCTCAGCCATTGGGCTCGGGCCTTGTGCCGGGCGTGCTTCGACGCGTTAGTTGCACAAGAGGTCGAGCAGAATGATGACGCGGCACCGGTGTCCAATCGTTGTATATTCTGCAGACCTTGATTATTCTAGGTGGAGCTGGCCCTTCGTAACAATTGAGCGATGATGGTACTGCTGTTTGAAAATCGCGCTCCCATGCTCATGGATGATTGGTGTTAACTTGCTTACACCTCCCCGACACGGAAAAGGTAGCTAAGGCTCTTATATAACTTGTATTTCATAATATTAAAAAGAAACTTACGCGTCCCGGATCCAACTTTGTAGTGCTCTTGTATGGTGATAGCCACTTTGGTAAGACCTAGTGCGCCCCTTATAGGCCGAATTCAAGTGGAGTGTCAAAACAAAATTGAAAAATAAAGTTCTCTCCGTGAAAGTTGCGAATTAGCATCGATATGCTTAAGAGGCGCCCTCTTATGGTTCCTTTTCGTGACATCACGACCTAAATTTGCCTCGCCGTGACGTCATGAGTTGGGATACTGAAGACTTATCATCAGCTGCGAACAACAAGCTCGATGGTATGTGTAAAGAGGACGGTGGAAGCTTGAAGCCATCGCGTTGTGAAGCCAACACCGTCGAAGTTGACACTCTTGCATTGATCATTTTCGTCGATTAAACCAGAATTACACTAAATGCGTGAAAGAGAGCATTTCGCCGATCGTAGATGGCCGACGACAGCGACGCTTTTGGTCGTGCACTTTCGCCAGTGGCCGCCAGTGCATATCGCCTTTGCATCTAAGATAGAGGCAAGGGTTGTCTCTATCTTAGATGGCAACCAAAGAATGAAGCACCTGTGGCATGTAGCCGACGCCCCGTCCCGGCACATGCATCGTGTGCAGTGGCTGTCCGAAAACCAGGATCTTCCCCGCCTTGGGCTTGGTGAGGCCCACGAGGCAGCGCAGGAGGCTCGTCTTGCCGCAGCCGCTGGCGCCCAGGAGGCCGTAGCTGCAGACGCGAGGCATCTCTTCAGCATTGTCCCTTTATACACGGCTTGCATTGGCGTCACGTCAGTAGCCGTTATGGTGCACTTGTTGCTGAGTGCGTACATTTCGCACCACCGAATTTGTTCTTCTCGACAAGAAAAAGTAAGAATGACCACCACCACAGTTCGATTACGTCATGTGCAAGCCAGGTACATAGCTTGCATGTGACGTCATCCCGGCCATGGCAGCAGCGTTACTAGACTAGCTCAGTTACGAAACTACCTGTAGAGGCTGCTTGCACAAGCAGAATCCTCCCCCCCCCCCCCCCCCCGCCCCCGTTCTCCGAATGGCTTGCTACCCGTCATTCGACGCTTCAGCGGTTTGAAGATGGCGTTTGAAGATGGCTGCTGTGGTAACCAACGTTACTAGATTAAAGTCAGTTGGCAAGCGCCCTAGAACGCCTGGTGCGTTTTCGGAACGCATGCGCTCGGTGGCGCTTGCTGCACTATCAGCCCGCCCTATGGACGAACTGGTGGAACGTTGAAGGCACATTACTTGTGGTGGGAAGTGATTCTATTGTTGTTTTCTTTGAGGGGGAGGGGGGGGGGGGGTAAATATAAAGTATGATCAAAAGTTGGCGTAAAAAAGAGCATCGTTTAAAAACGGTCCTTCTCTCTCGCCCGTGGAGGCGATGACGCTGGTGGCGATAGGAACGCCATCCGCCCGTACCGGCTCACGTGCAGGAAACAGAGAAGATTCGTTTTTGAACGCCTCGACTTTTCCGTGTAGCTTGTCAACTGATGGATCTAAAAACGTTGATGCTAACTTCAGTGTATTCTATGGAATGCATATGTTTGAATGCACATCGCCCAGGTGGCGTATGACCGTAGAACATGGAATGCACAGTTTTGCAACGACAATCTAGATGGCGCTTGAAGCGACTGGAGGGAAAAGTCCTAGATAAGATGCCTACAAGTAGCGACATTCTTTGAAGCGCCGACTGTGTGACGGTGCAAATTTCAGGAAGCGAATTGCGGCGCACAACAGAAGAAGTAACTGAAAAACGCCATTTTGTTCCACAGAATGTGCTCCGTCATTTTAGTTGTCGTTGCTTGTAAAAAGAAGCACCAAGTGACTTTACGGGGAGGTGGAGTGAAGTGAGGGAGTGAGGGAGGGGGGGGGGGGGGGGGCGAGGCATCCCTTTCCGCGGGAGTTACGTAGCTGACCTATTCTAGTAAAGTTGCGTGCCAGCATTTTATACGTCACGAGCGTAAGTAGAAGTAATCGTCAGTAGCGAGCAATGGCGACACTTGCAAGCTATGTATACGGAGCGTGAAGAGAAGCTCACATGAGTCCCTGGGGCACCGTCATGTTGGCACCGTCGATGACAGGCGGACCGTGGCGGCCGTAAGACAAGGACAGGTCCCTAACAGTCACGGCGGCGGTAGACCTGCGGCCATCACGTGTACGAGGTTCCTATGACCGGTCCCGGCCACTCATGGACATTAACGTCAGTCGCAGGCCTGCTGAGCACGTCCTAAAAGCGAGCTTGAATTACCCTGGTCAACGTCATCAGCTGAATTAGCAAGGTACACGTATTTGCCTGTTCTCAATGGCGGTAGCCTGAAAGCATTTTTTTTAAAGGGAGGGTTAACTGCTGACTGGCGTTCCGGAACTCCATCTTGGTACAAAGATGCAGTGCTGGAGACGGACCCAACTGAAGACCAGCGTAGGACACATATTGGGTACGAGTGATAAGTCGGCGTTCGAATGGGGACTCGAGCACTGTATGATCGAACGCGAGTTGTAGCCGAGCGCTGACACAGCACATCGAGTCTAATACGCGACCCGCGCTGCCTAAACTTCAGCCCTACGGCTTTCCATCTGGGTGCTGTTGCGTCTTCGGGCATAAGGCTCAGAAGCGAAAGTGAATCTTACGATTTCATGATCGGTTTCAAACGGCGGAAGTCGGCTTGCTTCGCTGATGCGGGTTTGAGCGCTTCTTTCGAATGATGGGTCACGAGACGGCGAGGTTCACGAGGGCACTGAGGTCACGTGATCACGCACGTGCAGGGCGCATAATAACGATAGCGCAACCCAATTAAGGATTAAAAATAAATTCCGGAATGACCACTTCTGTTAAAAGCAATGAAAATTGGCAATGAAACAATCTGTCCACTTTGGTTAAACGCAAGGGATAAAGAGGCATTGACGTTTATCACTTCGTTCTTCTTTCTCCTCTCAGTCGCACACACTGCAGTAAAAGACACGCAGAAAAACGAGTAGCGCTGAGGTGATTTGGTGTTTTTAGATCTACCCCGATAATTTTCATCCTATCCACGCGCCGGGTTGGCGACGTTCTCGACCAAATGCGTCGCCGTAGTCGGCTTTCAACGACTGACCAACTGCTCACTACAACGTCTTTACCATTCACACGACCATAGAGGTACATTTAGCCAGCGTTACTAAAGTAGATAAGGCTCTAGAAGGGAGAGGTTTGACGATCGCGCATGCGAAAATGACTCGGTGATTCAACATGTGACGCAGTGGTGAGTTGTAGCAGGGCGGAGAGCCATCGATAAGTGAATAGTAGCGCCACCCTGCACAACAGGGAATAAAAGGTGAAAGAAGTACCCCGAGGGGCTTCAACGCGACCTACTGCACTTAAAGTAGGCCGTGGGATCCACAAACCCACCATCGCTTCACTACGGCCTGCCTTCATTGCGTCGAGCTCAATGGGCCGTACCCAATCTCGTTATGGCACACAGGCAGCGATAAAAACACTGTTGGGTCCCGGGCTGCAACACCGGGTTCGTGTCGTCAAGGTCAAGAGGCGAAAAGGCGACGTTGTTTGCTGTTCCAAAAAAAAGCTCTCGAGACATTCTGAACATGGGAGCGGGCTATACTTGTCGCCCGCGCAGTAAGCGATCTGCATTTCTAAGCAAGGCTTATTGTGCGCGGCACTTCACGATTGTAATAAACAATTTTTTTTTTTCAGGGCGGTGGAGTGTTGTGGCGCTGCTGCGGGCATAGCGATGCTAACGCTGCGTGCTGAACCACTGAACAGCCGCCATTTACTCCCGCTGGACGAAGCGAGCGATTGTCAAACCTGCCCTTATATACTCCGTTCACTGCAGCCAAAGCTACAAGCGCGGGCTGGCCCGCGCTCCGGGCTTTGAGACATGCATTTCTAACGCGAATGCTCGTTCTGAGGAAAAACGCTTCAAAGCAGCGATCTCGAGCTCTCGTGCTTGTGGCCTTGGCTGCACACACCATAATTTGAAGTATTCACTGGACGCCATATTTGTGGGTGCTGTTTAGAGCGCATGCTCAGTACGAGCTGACATCAATAGGCTGCTAAGACCGGCAGTGTTGATGGTGCGGAATGCACGTCGCAAAAGAACTGTGGAAGCTCGCCGTCAGTACGCGCTCAGCAGTCGCGCACACAGCTATGGCCGCCAGTGAATACTGACCGAATGGGCTAGCGTGAAGTCACTGGATCGTGGGGAAGTGGCGACATTGCCTTCGTTGCCTGCTAGCCGGACACAAACAAATGCTAACATACAGACAAGAAAGCCTCACAAGGTAATTAGCAGATCGGTCTCAGTTGCCATGGCAATCGCCATTTCAATCCATTTATATCTTCGAAGCTTCCAGAGGGTCGTTCTAAACCAGTCGCGCCAAGATCGCAGTGGAGAAGTATAGTGCTTAAAGTGATTTTCTCAGCGCGTCTTTGGTACTATATTTAAAATCAGCTTATCAATCAAGCGAATATCCACAAATCTCTTACAATTACAGATTGTCTTCCTTGCGCCTTGAAGACAGTGAAATTATTTTTTTTTTTTAATGGCGCCAGGCACCGACGCCGCGTGTTGTGGCGATGTGCGCTTGAATCGCCGGTGTGCGGATAACAAAATTTCTGTACTTAAGAAATGTTTTCATGATGCAATCTGTTATCGGAAATTTTAATCCGCTCACCCAGGATTGAGAGGTCGGGGAGAAACCACAGGAAAAACTGCTCATTCCATGTACCAAAATGGCTACCATATGAGGTACAGTGAGGTAGCCATACCTGGCTATCCATGTACCAAGATGGCTACCATACAAATAGCTTGGCGGTACTTTGCCAGGATACAGTGACTTTAGGCTAGCGCACACCGGCTCGGAGCATCACGAAACCTCGCGCAGCAGACCGCAGGGTTAATGGGTTCAATCCCCACCCCTGCCCGTTTCGATCTGGATGAGCATCGTACCGGCGTGCGGTCGTGTATCACTACTGTGTGATGCACGCTAAAGACCCCAGGCTAGGAGTTGTGGTGCACTGGCTAGATTTAATTCTCATCTACAGTGGCATAACAATGTCGCCGCGTTCAGACAGACTAACCTCCGTCTGTATAAACAATTAACGACTAGCTACTTCTTTAATTATTAGAGTAGATCGTTCCAACACCTCCGATATCTTCGATACCCGGATACCTCCGAAACCCTCTAGACTGGGGGTGGCCAAACAGCGACTCGCGAGCCGCATGCGGCTCTTTGCTGGTCTGTGCGTCTCGCGGATCCCTCGTAAAACCCCTCCCCCCCCCCCCCCCCCCACACACACACACACACACATACCCTTCCGCGTTTCCACGCGAAAGAAGGAAAGGATTTCAGACAGAACTACAGCTTGTCGATTGGTCGCCTTGCGACTCCATACGTGCAGTCGAACCGCTTCACTCGTTTGTTTCCAGAAATCCTGTTCCTTTCATTGTTCGTGAGAGTTTGCCGTACCCTAGGTCTACGGCTTGGGGTCGAGGAAATGTTCGGTCTCGCGGCCTTTGTCACTCGCCGGTGATACTTGTCCCCTTTAAATAACGGATGTGCCCTCCATATCATTTCTTGTTGAAGGTCGTGGAAACCTGGGTTGACCTCATTCATAGCTTCCCCCAGTCACAGATGTTATGTTCAAGTTCACAAGGAACCGGGAACATTCTCATTGTTATTTTTACCGGCTTACAGTTGTGACTCCCAAGCTGTTTTTTATGCTTTCGGAGGAGAGGGGGGGGGGGGGGGGGGAGATAACTAGGCAGCGGTTAATGAAGGCGCGTCTGGAACGCTTGCATGGAAGGGCAAAAGGCGTGCTTGCCAAGGTCGGGCTTGAATGGGAAAAGGGGACATATGCATATGGAACAGAAAAAAGTGTTAAACGACTGTCAGCATTCCCTGCGAGGAGGAGCTAAAGTATCGTCATAATTTTTCAGCTGCCTCTACGGTATTCGACCTGGTCTGTCGAGACAAGTTAATTAATGCCTACGTAGAACCACCCTTGGCGAAGTTGTGACGAGGTTCTGCGGCCGTCGTCGCAATTGCGTCCAACAAGAAACGCAAGTACGAAGATGAACATCGGACATTCCTCCCTGATTGGGGGAAGATTTCGCTTTCACAGAAAAAAGCGGTAAGCCCCTTTGCCTCATCGGTAATGCCGCAATTTCGCAACACAAGGCAAGCAATTTTCGACGAAATTATGAGACCAACCACAGAACCTTTTCTTTGGACTATCCAGCTTCATCTGAGTTGAGGAAAGCCAAACTGGCTCAGCTCAAATCGCGACTTCGGACTCAGCAGTCCTTGATTAAGGCCTTCAGCAAGGAATCTGACCTAGCAGTCGAAGCAAGCTTTGCAATCGCCTGGAACACTGCTCGTACCAAGCGAGCTTACTCGGTAGGAGAATTTCTGAAGACCAACATCTCCGACGTCGTGGCAATCTTGGATTCAAACAACAAGAGTCTCCAAAGATTGGTCAACCAAGTCCCAGTTCCACGACATTCGGTCGAAAGGCGCATTTCACAGCTAAGCGTCGACGTCGTCGACAAGCTTCTGGAGGGCCTAAACAACTGTAAAGAATTCAGCTTAGCCCCTGATGAATCTACGGATATACAAGCCAAGCAAGCCATGGCTTGCAATCTTCGTTCTTTATGTTTCATCCGACGAAAGCGTGAGAGAAGAGCTTCTGGACATGGTTGGCCTCATAGAAACCAGTCGTGGTGTTGACATTTAGAATGAATTATTAACAACATTGGAGAGGTTTGTCGCTCCTGTGCAGAAACTTGTCGCTATTGCCACTGATGGTGCGACTGCTATGGTTGGCAGAAATGCGGGTCTGGTAGGTCTTCTGCGGAGCGACCTCAGCATTTCAGATTTTCTCCCAATTCATTGCATTATCCATCGTGAGCAACTGGCGGCGAAGCCCTTCAGCTACAAGGACGTTATAACCTCCGTCCTTCGAGTCGTCAACTATACATACGATCGAATGCAAAAACCCACCGGCAGTTCCGCAACTTCCTCGAAGAACTATAACTTCATGAAGCGCCCAACAAAGTATCGTTTTTTTTTTTTTTTTTTTTTTTTTTTTTTTTTTTTGCGCGGTAGGTTGGTTGTCAATGAGCTACGTACTATCAAGGTTCGTGGTTCTCCTGAAGCCAATTCAAGCTTTTCCAAGCCATGTCCAGAACTTCATGACGCGGGTTGGTGTGTCGATCTCGGTTACCTCACTGACGTAGTTCAGCACCTAAAAACTCTAAACATGTCGCTCTAAGTGAGAGAAAAAATGGTATCGTAATTTGCCCAAACCGTCTTCAGCTTCCAAAACAAGCTGACTTTTTTTCAAAACGATCTGAAAACAAAGCGCTTGATGCACTTCCCGTGACTGAAGAGCCTTCTGGATGCTGAACATGAGTTTGAACTGACCGATGCCAAGCTCAGTGAATATTTCGTAAAGCTTGAAGAGCTTGAGAGAGACTTTCAGTCCCGGTTCAAAGATATATATGCACCAACTCAAGCCCTGTTTCGCGCTTCTGATGAATCCTCTTGTGGTTGATCTGTTAAGTGCCGACTCTCCAACCATAGAAAGCTTGGCAGAAGATGTAGGAGCCTTCGAACTGGAACTGCTTGAACTACAAAAAGAGCCTGCGGTCTCAGGAAATTGCAGTATTTTGGCTGCAGGTGCCGGAAGCAAGGTCAAGTTCGCGGGCCAGAAACTCCTCTTTATATTTGAATCAACATATTGCTGCGAGGCTCTATTCTCAACAACGAAGGCGGTGAAGTCAATGCGGCGCGCGACCCTTGCGGACGACCACCTGACTGAGCTGCTCCGGAGCGCAATGACGTCGTTCGAGCCTTACTTCAAGGGGCTTGTTTCACGAATGGGGAAGCCCAACACGGACACACAATGAGCAACCACTGCATGAGTGTAATTCACTGTTCCCCCAGCCGAGATGAATGAAATAAAGAAGCCTGCCGTGCTCCCTTTTTTACTACGGCTCTCTACTAAACTGGTTCTTTATTATGGCTCTTTGACTGTGTTTCTTGGGGGGCAAACTTTTGTCCAGAGTCTGGACATCATCCCTTTTCCGCCTCTGACAGCTTCAGAAACGCGATGTGTGGCCCGGCATCTTATTGTCGTTCCGTTGC